CATATGTGCATGTACTAAACCACTCAACTCACGGTCGAATAACCCCACCAACTCCAGAAAACCCCGACACCCCTGGGAGGTTATCAGTATAGATTTAATGGGACCCTATCCTCGCACGAGTAAAGGAAAATCCTATATCTTGGTAGCCACCGACTGCTTCAGTAGATGGACCGAGGCATACCCGCTCGGAACAGCCACTACTAAAAACATTACCGAAACGCTCGAGCGAGAATTTTTCTCACGTTTCGGCTACCCTCGCGTGTGTCTCAGTGACAACGGCCCCCAGTTCGTGTCAAACGACATGCTTAGCGCGATTGAACGATGGGGGGCGGAAGGTTGGACCACCCCAACCTATCACCCAAGAGCCAACCCGGTCGAGCTCCGCAATCAGGACTTAAAGAAAGGACTACGCGCGGCACTCACCAACAACGGCAAACACACCACCTGGGACACGAAGTTAGCCCCCATTTTATTTGCTATTCGAAATCGGCGCAATGTACAGACAGGATATCCACCATCGGTGTTAGTACTCGGACGCGAGTGCAAAAGACCCGGGGATTGGACCCTACAATCTGATTCACATACGCAGGTCGAACCAATAAACAGGGATAGACTTAAGCGGGAGGTAGAAATCACAGGCAGACACAGCCGGGACATAGTGGCCGAGAAATGCAAATTCTCGGAGGGAGATATGGTACTATATAAGGCCCACCACTTGTCCAAGGCGCACAAGGGATTTCATGCGGGATTCGCACCGAAATGGTGGGGCCCCGTAAGGCTGGAAAAACGAGTTGGTAAAGGAGTTTTCCTAACCGATCAGCTACCGCCGAGAAAGATCCACGTGTCCTGCCTAAAACGCGCACATAATTAATTAATTACACGATTGCGCGTTTTTCAGCACCACCTCCAGCCACCATCAGCGAACAACATGGACACTAACAAGGTTGTGGAGATGTTGGAAAAGGTTAGGGAGGCGGTCACGTCACAGGGATCGTCGGGAAGCTGCCGCACAGTGGACGACGTCAACAAGGCGGGGGTAGACCAACTGCGGGCTGAGCTGCTTCTTTGGACAGCCTACTGCCGGGGGTGGGCCGACCGGACCGCCGACCTGGTCAAGACACTTGGCTCCTCGGCGGCGAGGTCGCCGGGTACACCATCAACGACGAAGACACCACGCCCGTGGACACACCAGCGGGTCCCAACCGCCAAGGCAACAGGTTCGAGGCGCGTGAGGGCGGCTACCGGCACAGTGACGGCCACCCTTACCACACCGGCTACCACCACCAAGGCACCTCCACCACGGCAACCCACCCGCCCCGCAGCGACAAAACGGGACATCACTTGGGTGAGGCCGGCTCCGGGGCGTCCATTAGTCCCGAGGATGCCACCAGCAGAACCACACCCACCGACGACGGAGTGGACGGGGATGCCAAGCCGCGTGGCGTACGTGGACCGCCTACCGACGCCACCACCTGCACCTCCCTCCGACAAGCCAGGACCATTGGAGCCCTGGCCCAAGGCCGTCAAGCCGACAACATCAACGCGGTCGGCAGAACGCTCAGTCATTAGTTGTAACAATTATTATTATTATTGTATTACTCGTATATTGTTGTGCACGTACTTGAGTTTTGCACAACTTATATTTAAAATATAATAAAAGAAAAAGGTACTGGTGCGAAAGGAAAAATATCTTTTTGTTAAACGAAAATAAAGTTTATTAAATTTAAGACGAGGTTCTGCTCACGAACATTCACACTTAACGACTGCCTCGCTAGTCGGGATCCGGGTACCGTGAGTGTGATCCAAAAGGGTTGTCTCAGCACATTCCTTACAGCCCGGTCTCGACTGCGATGCTAATACGCAGAATAGTGGTGACACAAACAATCACGTATAATTATAATATAATATACATAATACTATGCTGCTTACTAACTAATATAACAGGGGTTCTTAACAATATATATAAATTGTAATAATTGTATATTTTTATCCGTTATCATGTAAAATTATGTTTTATTATTACATATAGCAATTTTTTTTTAAATTTATATTACATATATACTGACTTAATATTATAACCATTTTTTAGTGCTGTATGTAAAATATATATATATAAAATCTTTTATTCTTTATAAAACCATATTTTTATTTATTTTTTTATGTAAAATATATATAAAATGTTTTATTCTATATAACACCATATTTTACTATTTTTTTCCCCCTCCGACTGTCGGAGAACAAAAAATAATTATCAATGCAATATATATATGTGTGTGTATACTACATTAGTATATTTACGTAATACTTTTATTTTAGAAAATTCTAATACCAGATAATAGTCATTAAGAGTGATAATATTAATAACAATAAATAAATAATGTTTTTACGCCTTATAAAATATTTCTTTATTATAAAAACCAATACAAACATATAAATTTTTATTTAAACCTATACCTAAATTTTTGGCCTAACTGCCCCAGAAATATAAATATTAGGTTTTTATCAGGAGCCAGGTTAAAATCATCTATTTCAACATCCGAAATAGACCTCTACCCAATGGTCCTCCTCCGCAGCCTTCATCACCGCTATGATACACGGACCCTATTGGGTGGTTGTTTTCGCCAATTGTTCCACAGCGTACTCACGTTCCGGCGTGAGTTCGCCGACACTAATTTTTTCCACGGCTGCCTCTTTCTGGATTCTTTTTTTGAAAGAGTCCATGCTAAGAAAGAAATTCAATAATTATTAATTTTAAATGAAAAACTTTTCTTCAACAAATTATATTATAAACGGATAGTAAAGGATGTAATACTATCTAGACATTTATATATATATTTATTAAACCTAGTTAATCGTGAATAAATTTCGTGAACGTAACACATGTGATTGTAATAAAAATAAAATTCCATGCAATTAATTTAAAACTCTAAAAAAATATGAAACATTTTATTATGATCGAATCCGATCGAGTAACGTAAGATTTATTATATATATATAAAAATTTCTTGCAAATAATAATAATAATATGACTTACTCTGTATTAGAAATGAGTGGTACTACTAACCGATACTGGATATGCTGGTAGTGATGTTGGTGGTGTTGGTGGTGGTGACGGCGGTGGCGATGATGTAGCTGTTGGTGACGGAAAACGTTGACGCAATGTAAAAGAAAAAAATCCTAAAGAAAAAAAAGTTACAATTATTTTATTTTATATAACCACACGAGTGTTTATTTAAAAATGTTTATTTATAAAAATAAAACGTAAAACGTACTTACAGAGAAAAATCGTAAGTGTTGTGATGACCGCGAGAATAGTGAAAAATAATAGTGTTCGGCGGAGACTGGTCTCGTGCGTGATGATCTTGAACGACTGAACGAACTATGCTATTTTTTAAACGGTCTAGGATGTGTTAATATAACGAACCCATTCCATTTTTAAGGATAAATACACGTCTTAATCAAATAATACCCTTGGACAAAAGACCGGATGTATAAAGATAAAAACAAAAATAAGTGTTCCGATCACAAGCGACCCGTATTCGTAAATTGATACATCGTTAAGTACTCGCCATTTAAGATAAAAATACCATGTATACGCATGTCGAGACCGGCGTGATCATGTAACATTTGTAGATTGTGGACCTTATACATATAATACATATATATATATATATTTAAAATAATTTCAACACATTGGTGTTAGACAATAACATATTTTTATTCCACAATATAATCGCACATAATATTATTTCAAGAATTATTTAAAAACCATTTTTTCAACATGAAAATTCTATAATATGTACATTTAGTATAGTTTAAATTTTTATGATATAAACAGCACGCCACCGATGGCGGTAATGATAAAGGCTTTTGACTGATATTGGCACATATTTGACTCAGGCGTAGACATCCGAGCTGTTGAAGATCAACAATTTCCACGTTCGGCAAATAGTTATGAATAATTTTCTTTTTCTGCTCGCCTTTCACGTAAATACACGTATACGTATGTCAGTGAATCGAAAATCTGATCGAGTTCCGAGTATTCCACGTCGCCGCATTCCAGTGACAACTGGTGATAATTACGAAATAGCCAATTATTCACTGAACGCGACCTGGCATTCTGATATTCAGACAGTAATTTCATAATGTAGTGTTGAGAAGCACAACAGTCCAGATCTGCGTCCATTATTGAAAGTTCCTTAACCCTAGATTACTAACCTTTTTTATTTGCCTTTATTTCTAACCATTTGTCAATATGACGAATACTATAAATATTATGAACATTTAACCATTTTTAATTGTTTTTTTTCAATGAATCAAAAATATAATTTATAAAAATACAATAATTAAACTTTTGGATAACTTTATTGTAAATAATATTAGTAAAAAAACATTTTTTCTCATTTTTAAAATGTAAAATCGTTAAACCTCAACATAAATTATAACTTTATAAAGGTATAAAATAATTATATAAATGTAGGTAATACACAAGTTATTTAGCATTACAAATTGGACAAGTTATGATGTTCTCCACAAATATGTTTTTTACATGTTGCACATTGAGTTTTTGTCATTCGCCTTTTTTTATAGAAACAAAAAGTGCAAATTTTTCTTTTGTTGATTGATGTTCCCTCTTCTGTTTCTTGAGGTTGTAGTTAAACTGTGTCTTTTATTCCTAAACTATCTTCAATATGTTTCTTCAAATTTATCGGCAATGTGGGAATAGAAAGTCTTGATCTCATCCAATCTTCACATAATTGTTCTTGTAAACGTATCATGAATTGAAAACGAGACAAGGGTTTCGAGCCTGAAGTATTATTTTTGCAAAAATTATGTAAATAAATAACATATGCATTAATTGAAGCTATATTAATCATGTTATAGAAAATACATAATGGCCAACGTTGTGTTTTTTTGCCAGTGTTCATATTCTGACACATTTGGTCAAAGCTATCAACACCACCTTTTGTTTCATTATAGTTCATAATTATAATTGGTTTTTAATTTGTTTCATCTATTGTGTTATCATCATGAAGTGAAGAAATTAAAGTTACAAGTTTGTCTGGTTTTGCTTTGAATGACACAGCTACCAAATTATTGGCAAATAAAAATAACGATGAATATGCTTTTCGATTGATATATTTTAGATCGATGAATTCATTTGGAAATTCTCGTTTATTTCGTTTTATTGTTCCAATAACAGTAAGTTCGTAATCTGCAAGTAATTTTTGTGTCAATGGAACACTAGTAGACAAATTAACCATGGTAATATTTCGGTTGGATCCTTTAACTGATGAAATTAAACGTTCAACAAAGTAATTAGCAGCAGGTTCATTAGTTGGAACAGTTCCCTTACCACAATACGGCAATGCGCTTATCATATATTTGGTCTCATTGTCACACATCATTATTATTTTTACACCATACTTGTTTGGTTTAGATGGAATGTACATTTTAAATGGACATCGGCCTCTAAAACCAACCAACTGTTCATCAATAGTTAAGTATGAACTTGGCTTATATAAAGTTTCACAATTTTTAATAAGAATTTCCCAAACTTCCGAAATTGGCGCAAATTTAGTTATAAGTCTTATATTTTCTCGAGTATCTTTTGAATCAAATCTTAAACAACTTACTAAAAAATTAAATCTGGCAAGTGACATTGTAGAACGGTATCTATAGCCACAAAGTGAGATGTCAAACAAATGATTTGCCGACAAGTGGTTATTTTTCATTGCAGCAGATGAGATTAAAATACCCAATAAACCTTTTAATTCATTTAAATTAATATTTTGTAAAGTACTTTTTTTTTGAATATTCTGTGTATAGTTTTATTTTTGACGAAAAATTTCTTCATTTGTATGATTAATTATTTTATTCAAAATATCAGACGAGAAAAATAATAAAAAACACTCTAGTGGCTCTGATGCATAAATAGCATTTTTTGTTGGCCCAGGTCTAATATGAACTATGTTTTTAGCGACGGTCTTAGAAGTAGATGGAAGCAAATAAGGTTTACTTTTCCATGTAAATCCATTTTTTCCTACAAAATTATCTGTATCAAAACAAATTAATGACTCACGTGGTATGTTCTGACGTGTTTCGATGGTTGGAATTTCATTAACATTCGGCTTATTTACTTTAGACCTCTTTTTCGTTTTCTCAAGAGAATTTTCAATTACTAAAATACTTCAAATACTAAAATGGCTTATTCTAAATTTGCTTCTTCGATTGGATTTGGGTCATATTCGGGGTCAGCATCACTATCGTCTTCACAATCTTCTACTGTATCTTCATTTTCACTATCTTGTTCTTCCAGTTCTTCCAGTGCCTTCAATACATCATTCTCATCCATTATTTCACGTGCCATCTAGAATATTTATAATAAATCCATTTATTTCAATTTTACAAAAGAACACCGTTGTTTTAACGATACGTCACATGAACGAACAAAAATAACATATTTTGATAACTATTCGTCAAATAAACGAATGCAAATATACTATAATTACTTACCATTCGTCGATTCGGCGAAGTAGTTCTTACACAATCAACGGCTGAAAAGTCACTAGTCATGCTAGATCGCTAAACGTTATCGGGATAGATATAGGGCATAATATATGAGAGATACAAGGAGGGTTTAATGGTATTAGATAAAATGCCTAAAAATAGCAAGAATAAAATTATCAGTGTTCGTCGAATCGACGAATAGTTAGCGATCTAACGGTTGTTGATTCCCAATACACATTCAATATCTACGATACCTGCAGCTGCTGCTGAAGTAGACATGATTTTACCGCGAATATACTCGTACGACGACGACGGTTCAGTACTGACTGTGCGTGCAATATTATTTCACATTTCGTTTTGGATGTTCTAAATTATCTATGTGATCGGCTAGAGTCGACACAGTTTTATGAATAGATACTATCTGACCAGTTTCCAGTCTCAATTCGTAGATAATTTCATTTGTTTTTCTCGCATAAGCCATAAAACGTATTTCCAAGTCCGTGCACGATGTCTCTAGCAAATTTATTTTATTTTCGACCGTCTGTACCGCTGTAATAAGACCTGTGATTTTTTCCAAATGTTCCGTAATTAATGCACCGTGTTTATTCAATTTGTTTTCGAAAAATCGACGGTTGTCTTCGATCAATTTATTCTGCACGGCGATCGGTGTACGACCAAACACGTCCATGACTAATCGTATCGTTTATAAACGCGTCTGTTTCGTATTTTCCACGTTTCAATTCATTGTATTTAATTTTTATATTTTCTCTAGCACTGATTATGTCCGACAGTAATGACTTGTTCGACTCACCCATGATTATATAGAAATGTCGGTTATTTCACTGCAACAATGCGTTATATAACAATAAACATATCGAACCCAAATCTATAACGTCCGTTGTCACGCTCATCTTCCTTGCTAATAACGATAAAGTCGAACCTGCTACGTTGCCAACATTTTGTGCAGAACGATTTAAATTCCGAGTACGACATATCAGTGGATACGTGTTCCGCATATGCGTGTTTCAGATTCATTTCGTCTTGTCGGAATAAAACGATAAAGTTAGGCCATTTGCACACACACCGATAAAATCGGAACCGGAGCCGGCGCCGGTACCGGTACCGGTTGTTCGCTTTTTTCACACATACCGGTAAAACCTAAGCCGGTGCCGGTTTCATTTCACACACTACGAGGAAACCATGTTAAACAGTTTTTATACTCACTAGGGTAAAGTCGTATTTAAGTTATTTTCTCTGTTGTTCTCAACAATGTGTGCTGATCTTAACAAACGTTATCTGTTTGGGCTACTGTACCTTCGAAGGAAGTACCGAAGAGACAAAATTAAAAGACAATATTGGATTCATCCTATATTAAGTGTAAGGTACTTGGAAGGAAATTTTTACACACTTTATGAAAAACTCAGAGAAGACCAAAATACATTTTTTAACTATTTTCGTATGAGTTCTTCTACTTTTGATTTTCTGGTAGAACGACTATATATTAGTATAAAATATCAGGATACTCCAATGCGAGCATGTGTTCCTCCGAAAGAAATGATTGCGGTAACTATAAGGCAAGTGAAAAATAAATACATTTAACATTTACATTTTCTCAATAACAAAATCTTTTATTTATTTTATAAAATTTATACATTCATTTATTTATTTCATACATGATTTAAATTAGTATATTATGAATAAAGATATAATAATAAAATAGTATTTAGTACCTATATAGTGTAATAAAACTGAGTGTTTCGTATTAAAATCTAACTATAATTAAAATTCATGGTGAATATAGTGTGGATGGCCCGGGTGAATTTATTTTAGAATTAAGAAAAGATGTCTGGGTTAACGGCGGTAGACTTTCATCCAAATGATAAGTTTGTTGTGTAAACTGATGTTGACTATCAAAAATTAAATTAGTTTGTTGATCATTGTGATAAGAGTTGGAAAATGTAGAAGGCTGACATAAATATGGCGTGGAAGAACTAGAAGTTGATCTAAAAGTGATCGTCGATGGAGGGTGGTTATTTGCACGCCTGTTAATATCTTTTATTAATTGTAACACATTCATGCGAAAATCTAGTTCATCCTCGTCTGACATTTTTCTCACAGAAGGTGTGATCGAAATAAAAAATGCTTCATCTTCGTCAGGGGGATTTTCCAGAACTTTCAAAATTTGTCTGTCAATGTCTTCTTGGCGTTCTTGCAACCGAGCTTTTTTGGGAAAGTTACGTTTATCATTTTTTACTACACTAACATTTTGCTGAGATTGTATTTCTATGTTACTTTCTGATTTTCTTATATCATGATCTTCATTTAGGAAGGAGTACTTATCATGTTGGGTATCATCTATACTTGACTCAGTATCATCTGATTGTATCACTATTTAACAAGAATGTCAAATGGTCATGGTATAAATATTTTTTAGAAGTGTTATGGCCAGATTTTTTTTTTTTAAGATTTAACAAAAGCGTCGCGAATATTTTGACATTTTCCATTGATTATTTCCCCTAAAAAAATTAAAATAAATACTATAAAAAATATGTTTATTTACACCGATAATTTTTTTTTTTTTTTTTTAATCGGAAAATTACACAATTTTTAATAACCATTTTATGTTCAGTTTTATTTTAAGGTACCTTGCTTCTAGATCAACATTTACTGACCTTCATTACTACTTCAGATTAGGTATAAGCACAATTAGTAAAATTGTTCGTTTAGTTTGCCACTTCTTGTGGGTTATACTAAAAAACGAATTACTTCCACAACCAACAGAAGAAAATTGGCAAAAAATAGCAAGAGATTTTTAAAAAAACCGCTCAATTTCCAAACTGTCTGGGCTGTGTGGATGGGAAACATATAAGAGTAAATAGATTGCCACGAAGTGGGTTAATGAATCTTAATTACAAAGGATATTTTTCTATTGTTCTTATGGCGGTGGCCGATTCAAATTATAAATTCACCTATGTAGACATTGGAGCTTATGGTAAAGATTGTGACTCATCAGTGTTTCAGCGTACTATTTTTTTTTGAGTTAATAACGAGTAATCAATTAAAAATACCAGTGCCATGCCCTATAGATTCAACTAGTAATATACATTTTCCATTTGTACTTGTAGTAGATGAAGCATTTTGGCTATCCGAATATTTAATGAGACCTTATGCCGGGCATAATCTTACAGAAAAAAAAAGAGTTTTTAATTACCGTTTAAGTCGGGCCAGAAGATATGTCGAATGCGCTTTCGGTATTTTAGCTAATAAGTGGAGAATTTTACATAGGGCACTTAATGTATCAAAAAAGTTTTCGAATGACATAGTAAAAGCATGTGTTATTTTACATAATTTAGTTAGAATAAAGGATTCACAAATATATGACATCGATGTTTATGAAACTATAACGCTGCATGATTTACCTAGAGCTTTATGTAATAGATCATCAAGAACTGCAAATAATTTAAGGGATCGTTTTGCAGACTACTTTGTGAGCACAGAAGAATCGTTGCCATGGCAATTGAAAATAAATTGAGTTAATACATATTATATCTACATTATTATTTTAACTTATAAATAAAATATTTAAGAAAATTATTATTTATTGAAATATTATAAATTAAAAATAAGATTATAAAACTACTTTATTACTTAAATAAATAAATTACCTATTTTTAATTGTTCCTTTTTGTCTTTGTGTACAAAATATTTTTCAAAAAACGTATACACTTCATTCCAGGCTTTTTGTTTTTCAATTCTATCTTTAAATCCATCTGTTGTCTTATCCCACAAACAAGGCTTACTTTCTACGAGCTCAATTAAAGTGACAACGTCGTACTTAAACAATTTAGTCATTTTTGGTAAAATGTACGTACTACGTACCACAACGAGATTGATGTCAATACTAAATTAAACTATGAGAGTTTATTAAAGTAATATCATACGACATAATATCATATATATCATATCAATATAATTATTTTTAGGTTTCCGACGGTACTGACAATACCTGTGCCGACCTGTGTGTACACGTTTGTATAAGAAAACATTGAAATCGATAATTCGGAGATCAGTCCGGCATTCGAATTATCGAATTCAACGCCGACTGCGTATTCCGGAATCGTCCACCGGACCGACAAATTTACCGGTCCAGTCTATGTGTGAAAGCACTAACTTAATTACATTGCATCCGGCACCGGCGCCGGTTCCGGTTCCGATTTTATCGGTGTGTGTGCAAATGGCCTTAGCGTTATCGCGAATCAATACGCATGAATACGATTGTGCCAGATAACACACATCGATCTGATTGTGCCGACCGCGTGAAAAATACGACCGTACAATATTTTGAGATTCCATTATAATGTCGTCAAAAATAAACACTTAGTTGGGTAGTGCCTTCTCGGGTGATAATACACGGTCGTTTTCTTGAAATTTAAATAAATTCACACCGTCTACTTTGTTCCTCGAGCGGTGACGGCTCGTGGTGATTTGACAAAGGGGTGCGATAATTTTTTTTTAATTTACTCAGAATATTAAATCAAAATTATTAGATTATTTATTTATTATCTATATAAGTTTGGCGGTGTCGCGGATGTAGGCAGATAAGATTACGATGTACAATCCGCGTACCGTACAAATTAAATAAAAATGGCGTCAATATATAAATGGTAAATAATAATAATAAAAACACCACGTCTTTTGTACGACGACAAAGAATATATATTGAACAAGACAAGGTTATAATAATGTTAAAAATAATACAATAAAGCGAACTCGCGTGAGTCGAAAGTCGGAGTCGGTTAAACACGTGCGTAACGCGAGTTGAGACGAAAAGGTCGGTCGTGGACGTCGCGTACGTGTTGTTCAGACGAACGGTCGAACGAGAAGAAAAAGCTCGGCGCGCGTAACGGCCGTGTCGCGTCGGACGGTCGTGCCGGGATAAGGCAGTGTGACCAATCCGGCGGCGGCGAGCGTGGTGAAGGAATATGTGGCAGTGTGTCCGCCACATAAGTACAGTAAAACCTCGTTAAGACGCTCTCGAAGGGGAAATCGTAAAACCGCGCATTATGCGGGATAGCGTTATAGGCGATATCCCGCCTATTAAAAGCGTTTTAAATGTAATAATAGATAAAATAAATAAGAAAAGTTTTTATAATGTGATTTGTTATGTATTACACAGTAACATAAGTTGTACATATTTAAAATTAATAAAAAAAAAACCTACACCTACCACCTAATGATTGCAACGGTCCTCGTTCCGCCGCCCGAATTGTACGACAGAAATCATCGCACATCATAGCTTATACCACCGCTACCGCCGCCGCCGATAATATGATGTTTTGTCTTCTATAAAAACCGGTTTTTATATGTGCGATTCACAACGTAGCACACATCACATAATATCGACAGCCGCGCTGTAATATATTCATTACTACTATATACACATATATATACAGTGTGTTCACGCTAAGAGGTACCACGAAATATTTCAGTTGGTTGACCTTGTATTCAAATGGGGTTTTCGGGAAAAGAAAGGGAGTACCGAAATACACAATTTCAGATAAATTTCAAATTTTTAACTTTATCAGTGCGCGCATGCGCAATACAACTTACTTTTTTTTAAATGGTAACACCGTTTTTTTTCTACAGATTCGGGTGGAGAATTTTTTTTTAAACAGTTTTTGTATTAAAAGTTTTTTTATAACTGCAAAATTGGCAAAGTTATAGTATGTGGAAATTTAAATTTTCGAATAATCTGTTTTTGACGAAGTTTGAACTAAATTAAACTTAATGTTATTTGAAAATCAAAACAATATTTCCGATATTATTAAATACCTGTTTGTAGACAGATAAGATAAGAAAAAGATCTTTGTCGACATTTGCCAGTAATTAAGGTAGTAAATTCAGTTCGTTATACATTTATTTTATAAAAAAATGTTGATAAATTATTTTCACTGACTAGAAATAATTGTTTTAATAATTTGAAACTTGTCTTGTGAAGATACCTATTCGTGTAACATCGTGTTTTTAATCCTAGCTATGCATCACACATTTTTTTGAACAAGTATTTACCTATTATTTTAATCCACTGTTTCACATAAAATAATCTTATTAAAATGAATAATAATGAAAAAGTCGAACTTATATTAATTTTTGGAGAATGTAATCGTAGTTTTCGACAAGCAGCTCGAGTATACGCAGATCGGTATCCAGATAGGTTTCACCCAAATCATAATTATGTCCATAGACTTCTTCGTGGATTAAATGAAAACGGTCAATTTCCTAATAATCCAAATAGACAACGGCAGCCTAGACCAAATGATTTTGATGAAGACACTGAATTACAGGTAATAGCTTACATACGTGCTTATCCACGTTCATCAATAAGACATGTATCTCGACAAATTGGTATATCAGTTGGTGCAGTTCATAAAATTTTGAAAAAAAACAAAATGCATGCGTATAAACCTGAGTTTATCCAACATTTAAGAATTGGAGATCCTGAACGTAGATTACAATTTTTGGCATGGTTTAGTATTCAATTTGAAATCGACAATTTATGTTATAATCGTATTTTGTGGAGCGATGAATCTAAATTTACAAACAACGGTATAATGAACAAACAAAATAATAGATTTTGGGACGATACAAATCCACACTGGTTTCGAGAAACTAACTTTCAGACAGTTTGGGGTATAAATGTGTGGTGTGGATTAATCGGTAGAAAACTTATAGGTCCTTATTTTTATGACGGAATCCTTATAGGTAGAAGATATCTAGATTTTATTGCTAATCAGTTACCGTTACTGTTAGAAAACGTTCCATTAGCCACTCGGGAAAATATGTATTTTCAACAAGATGGTGCACCAGCCAGCGCACAACGCCATCATTGTTCGACAACATTTAAATGAAATTTTTCCTAACAGATGGATTGGTACCCACGGAGTAATTCCATGGCCGGCAAGATCTCCAGACTTGACCCCCTTGGATTATTTTTTATGGGGGCATTTAAAAAATATTGTATATGCGGACCCACCTATTTATGTCCTAGATTTAAAAAATAAAATACGACTGTCTTGTAATAATATAGGAGAAGAACAAATAAATGCTAGCACATCAAGGGAATTTCTAAAACGTTTGGAATCATGTTTGGAACATCAAGGTGGAAACTTCGAACAATTTATTAGATAGAGCTGTAACTGTAAATAAATAAATTTTGATTTAAAATTCATAGTATGTACATTTTTATAATTTTTATTACCTTCAATTGGCTATCTTATTTCACATTAATTAATGGGAAAACTGAGATTAAATTACCATAAAAAAGTGTTTGTTATACATTATCTGTCTACAAACAGGTATTTATTAATATCGGAAATATTGTTTCGATTTTCAAATAACATTAAGTTTAATTTAGTTCAAACTTCGTCAAAAA